ATGGGTTTCTTGAAGCGATAAAAAGGTTGGATTAAAATCATTTATGAGTGTACGGAGTTCATCAAAATTATTAATAAGTCCCTTAATGTTCCATTGTAGAATTTTAAAAACTTTATTTAATTGTAATGACATGTAAGCAGAGTGGAGGGAGGGTTAAGTTGACATGTCAGCGTCTCCGTCGAGAAGGTCACTATAGGAATTTTTCGTGAATGATTTATTCTTACCAGCAGAATAATCTGTATTTAGGTGATTTGGTACATTTGAAACGCAACGGGTTGGCGCACGTGAATAATTTGAAATTGAAGGTTGATTGAGGGATGAAAGAATGGATTCATTAACACTTGTGATTTGTTGATTAAAGTTGAGAGCTGGAGATTCTGGAGAATTTGGTATATTAGATTTTAGCAAATGTGTTGTTGTTTTAATTTTTTCAATATTTGCAGTTACTTTGGTTTTCAAAGGTTGATTAATGGATGAAAGAATGGATTCATTAACACTTGTGATATGTTGAGTAAAGTGAGATTCTGGAGAATTTGGTATATTAGATTTTAGCATATATGTTGTTGTTTGGATTTTTTCAATATTTGCAGTTGCTTTGGTTTTTTCAATATTATCTTTGGCAAGTGATGTAACTGGTTTCGCAATATAATTTTTGGTTAATGGTGGAACAGGTTTTTCATTGGAAGCAGTTGCAGTTAAAGTCTTACTAGGCTCGATTTGCGAGGCAACAGCAGCATAGGTATTACTTTTGCCAATTCCATGGGCTACAGATGGATTTCTTTCCCGGTATGTGCGTCGCGCTTCACCCATGCTACAGTAATTTTCTGTTTTGATTTTTAATATTTCGCGCATCTGTACAAAACGTGGGCATTGTTTGTCTAACGCTGAGTGTTGATCATTGCAATTTATGCAGAAACTACGGGTACAGCTTACAGTATGTGGAGGATGACCACAGTTAGCACAAGATGCAGCATTAGTGCATCTTTTTGCCGTATGACCCAGGCGTTGGCAATTTTTACACCTCATAGGATTTGGGATGTATAGTTCTACTTTACATTTATACCACGCCACATCAACTGTTCGCGGTAGTCGATAGCGATCAAAAGTTAAAATAATCCTTCCTGTAGGAGAGCGTGTTTTTCCGTCATCATTCAGTTTGGTTAATTTATATGCTTCAGTCACTCCTTGAATGCCCATTTCGCGAACAATTTCATCTTCCGGCACATGCTTTAAGCAAGGGGCATAAATTACGCCTCGAACCGAGTTAAGTTTCTCATGTAGTTTAGCTGAAATAGCACATAGATTAGCTAAAGAATTGGCCTTTATTAGTTTTTCGGTTGCGCGCGGGTTCCCAGCGAGGACCAGTAAATTCCCATCGCGTAGAATCGAGATCGAGTCGATGTATGTTGTAATGCTATCTAGAGCTTTTTTTTATAGCAAAAGGGCTAATTTGGGAAATTGTTATTCGAGCATCGGTTGAAGAAATAACAATATATTTTTTATCAATAGGGATTATATCGCTGATCGGCAACACCGGAAAATCTGATTTTTTACTTTTTTTTCTTTGGGGGGATGTATCACTTAATAGATAAAATCTATTCGGGTTTTTGTCTGGCGGCCCCGGGGCCATTATGCCTTAGTGTTGTATATTTATTATTATTTTTGAAATAACCACTCACTTGAAAAGGTTTGGGAACTGTGCAAGAAGGTTGGGAACTACTAAAGAAAAGTGTCAAATGTTTTCAATTTTTTTTTTTTTTTATTTTGTTTTTTTGTTTTCTATTTTTTATTATATATAGACGAAACAAAAGCACACACGCGATATCCGCGTTAACCAGTTTTAGCAATAACACTGAAAAGACAGAAGTTAAATACACAAAAACACCGAAAACACCGAAACAATTGAAAAAACGCAGACGAATAGAAAACACGCACTACACTGAACACAAGTCGACTCGTCTATGCAAATTCTTTTTAAAAAAGGGGCCATTTTCGTAGTTTTTGTTCGAATTTTGAAATTAGTAAGCAAATAAAATATGGCAAAAAGATGTTTCTTTTGAGTTCTCTGAAGACAAAACAGAAAGTAACGCTCTGAATAATTAATCTATAGTCACTTATTTCGAAGGTTCTAGTGATGGGCTTCGCTGTATATACATCTTTTTGTATTATTTTTTGGGATTAAAGTATATTTTTTTTTATAGCTTTACCTTATATCAAAAATATCTTGAATTGTTATTTAATATAAGTTTTTGTTTCTTAAGAAATATATTTTTTGACCCTTAGTCCATAAATACAATCTATAATAGGACAAACCCTAATTTTTGGTACTGTATGGGCGCTTTAATGAGCTGCTGTATGTAAAATCCCACAAACGGAAAATGCCGGTGTGGTAAGGCGTTTTTGTGCCAGAGTGCTCTAGTTAGCGGCCAGAAAGGATATTTTCCGTTCAAACTCTACTTTGCCTTGATTTACCGATTTCACTTTAGGTTAATGATTGATCAAAATTTTACAACTCTAGAGTTTTCAGCACATTTGTTTTATCAAATTTGCCAACTTTTTGCAACTTGAACATAAAAATATATGGACAGACATCTGGTGGACAGACGGGCAATGAAGCTTAGAATCGTTTCAGAACCCATCGGTATAATAAAAAGTGGGTTTATCTCACGTTGGTCTGGGTGTTACGTACGTCCGCACAAACTTAATATATCCTGTAGCATAAGTGGTGTAGAGTATAAAAACATTTTGAATAATAGTATTTCGGTATTCTGAACTTGTGTGAATACAATTTGGATTGCAGGGGGAAATTTTTGAAACCTTTCCATATAATTACTTCTACAAAAACTAAATTCTTATATGATAAACAAGCTGAATTTCAATATTTCTTGCTGAAAATTAGTTTACAATAATAATTTGACATAAAAGTTAACTTTAGAGATTTCGGACTCTGTAATGTATAACTGAAGGATTTATACTTTGTCTTTGTTGGCTAAGCCTTACAATCTACCTATAAAATCCTAAACCTTACACTTGCCAACAAAACGGTCACTTCGAAGTGTCGGCACGGGTTATCGAAAAGCTGGGTTGTTTGCTAGAAATGATTGGGCTACTCGCGTTCGTTGGGCAGACCGTAGACAGTTACAATTATATAAAAGCATACAGGTGTCACTTTTACCCTTAACGAGGCAAGGAACGGACGAATAAAACCTATCTAAAACCTAAATAACCGGGCGGGCGAGATGTTATATTCACGGCCGGCCTGCACCTTAACCTGCCAATGGTGTACGTTTAACTATAACCAATCAAATAAACATAAATAAACGTAAATACAAAATAAATGTAATATAAATACTGAATAAATATAATACAAAAGCAAATTCTTCAGCATTTATCCTAAGATACTAAGGGTATGGTTATCTAAATATGATTACCGTGCAGTGCTGGCAACTATGATGACGCTGGATCGTGATGAAGATAGTAAGGTTATCTTTTAGGGGTTATTCATAATCAACTGGTCATATTGGTCTTATTGCCAATTGGTCTGGTCTGTTTTACTAAATAAAACAAAAAAAAAAAAATTAAATAAAATATTCTTATTAAATAATAATGTTGAGAAATATGTATCCATCAGGCGGAATGGGTTCTTTCCTTACATTATATCTTTTGGCAGTAGAGTAATATCGAGATTGGCGAAAAGTAACCATTTTATTTCAATTTTCAGAAAATGACTAAGAAGAAAATATTTAATTTTAAAACATTACATTCACTATAGATAAATACATATCTAAAATAAAAATAACAAATTTAATTTTAAAACACTATACATTCATTATAGCCAAATTCATAAATAAAATAAAAATACGAAGACAAAATTTATAGTTCAAGTTCACAATGAAAAGAGTTATTGAAAATAAATGCGAAAATTAAATTAACTTAAATTTAATCTTCATTTTCGAATTTACGCGAACGAATTAAATCGTTCTTTTTCTTGGTTGTTGCGATGGAACGACTTATAGTCATTTTTAATCTCGGTAAAGTCGTCTTAGTCGTCCTTGGGCATTGGTTCGATTGAAATTTTTGATCATGTCTGGGTGGCGCGTGATGAAAGATAGCAGTGCATTTACTTGTTCTTTTGTAATTGGAGCCCAATTATTAACGATTAGTGAAAAAACAGTTACAGTTAATTTTTTTATTTTAAATTATTATTATGATCTGATTTTCATAATTAAGCATTGGAAATTAGACCTTTTCTTCATATGAACTTCAATTGTTGTTTCATAAGTGGAAGTTCAAAAAATTGTCCCAGGCGGTCCAAATTTAGAATACGGAAATATTACCGCTAAGCCACTTAACGACGGAGTGGTTGAAAGAGTCGAACTATTCAAACTATTTTCAAGCGTTCATAGCGTTTGCGCCTGGATCGAGGCACGACATTATACCAAATTTCATCAAAATACCTCAAATTTTGCGACTTGTAGCTTGAACACAAAGGACAGAGAGGGTTAAATCAGATTCAGAAAATAGATCGGTCTAATAAAAAATATAATTTAAGCCCTTCTAGGTGTTATATACGTTCTCACAAACTTAATGTACCTTGTACCACAAGTGGTGGAGGGTACAAAAACTATGAAATATATATATTTATTTGTGTCAATGAGTATTGTAAAACAAAAAGCATATGTTACAACCAAGTGGGTCTACTTTTTAGATCTCATATAAGGAGTCTTATGGTACGTATTAAATTTTTGTTATATTAGAAATGAGCTTAAATTATTTTATTTCATTGTTTTAAATAAGTTAGTGGTGCTGGCACACGTGTGACCAAAAGTAATGAACAGACAAAAGGGCATAAAGTAAGAGTTTGCAGGGATTAGTAGTAATTTTAATTTTAAGGTTATTGGCAACCTTGTAGCAAATACTACAAGAATGTAAAAGGTTAGTAAGCTAGAGTTGGTTGAGAGAAATGAAATGAAAACAATTAATAAATTTTGTGAAGTAAAAAATTGGAGTTTTCTTTTAATGAATAAACCGCTGTCTGTTACGGAGTATTTTATGTAGTTAGTGTTCGTTGTGTAATTATTCTCGGCTAACAATAACTAACAATAAAGCTCATTATTTTAGCGTTGCCATTATATTCGTCTCAGCCGGGCTATCATCTTAAAATACGTTACATATATTTCCCGCCTTCGAGGCTTCTTTTTTTTGTTTAGTTTGTTGCCTTTTAACATGATGGTTTTTTTCGGATTTAACAAATCAAGATGAGCACACAAAGCTCTTTTGTTGAACATCGCATACGCTGGAGATGCTCGCGTTCTAATATAGGGTGTGTTTCTGTAATGCCGTAGAAATCTACATAAAAGTCTGTAAAATCGTCGTGATTTGTTTTGTCTGAATTTCTTTTAAGCTCATATATTATTATCTTATTATGTTTTCAGCTTGGCGGTTTGAGGAGGAATCGGTTAAAGGTGTTGCGGCAACATTCCACTATTTTTCAAAAATAATTTGAATATTTTTGATACAAATGAGGTACCGTTATCTAACACCAAGAGTTTGGGTAAATCAAATCTTGCAAACAACTGTTTAGATACGCCCATACTGGGGTCGTTTGTAATATCTTTACTAATATCAATAACTTCGTTTCATTTTTTAGGGCTGTCCACCGCTATCAAACATCACCGATTTATGAACAGATTGGAAAAATCTACATGTATTCTTTACCAACCATGGTCGTCAGATTACCATGTAACTAATTTATGTTGTCTAACTCTGTGGACTGCTGTGGCGACCAACAGCGTTCGCGTTCGACGATACCTATAGCTGTTGCATGTAAACAATTTACTACCTCTGCCTATTTATCCCTAAAATAACCAGTCAGATTAGCCGGACAATTCTGATCTCTTGTTGAAATAAGGTAATAAACGGAAACCGACACACTTTTTACGCGATCCAAAACATAAAATGTGTTTAACTTTTCCACCACTTTTTCCGATTCATTCTCCTTATCTTGTTAGAATTTGAAAAAGTATTTTCGTTTTCTCTTCAAAAATTTATACGAACGTCTTCGTCTATATAGTCCTATGCCAATTCCGTGTTGCAAAGATGCCTGTTGCTTCCTGACTTTCTCGTCCAAAAAACTCACATTGATATCTTAATAGAAACAATGAAATAGGTAGAAAACTATTGGGTGCCATTAGCCCTTTTCTCGGACCAAAGATACGTGCTAAAGGTTTATTACCCATCCGTATACATATTGTTGATATTTTTTAATAAAAGTAAAATTGAGAATTATGCTTCTCAATATCAGATAATCTCAATTCTATCTTTGTGTAACGGGGATTGAAACGGTCTAAGCAACTACCTGCCGTTAAGAGCGTTGTAAATTCGTCCACTGAGTCGGAACAATTTGTCGTCCAATTAAATTCTTGCTCCTTGTTGAAACTGTCATACAAAGGGCTTAACAAGTTTGCATTATGTAGTAGGATCCGTCTACAATAATTTACCATAACCAAGAAAGTTTGTAATTTTCGAATATGGGTAGGATACGAAATACTATTAAACTCCCTAACCTTTTTTGAATTGATTCGTAACTCGCTTTTGTCAGTTACTTGAGCCAAATATCTAATAGTTTTGCAATACATTACAGATATCCAACTTAAATGTATTGAATTTCCATTGAGCAGTGTTATTTTTTGGACTTCATTGTATAGATGGATTGTCATGAAATATAAACTGTTATATCTAATATTTAATATTTCGTAATGAAAATTCATTCATAATAGAAAAAAAAATACCTAGAGGAAACTTGAATCACTTGGATCTATTTTTGGACGTTATATGGCTATAAAGAATAATTTGTAGATTTTTACCATGGAAATATTTAAAAATTAACAAAATCTTTGGCAAGCAAATTGTGACGTTTTTATGAGAAGTATGCCTTTACATGAAAGCAAAGAATGATTAGAGAAAGAATGTATAAGACGAAGCGGTATAGGCTATTTAATGTTCAGCCTTGTCCATCTAAATCGTTTTCGCCAGTTTTTGTGAACACACAGTTGCGACATTCGTGGCTTTTGCATGTACTTATTTGGGAAAAACAAAAAGGCAACTTTTTGCTGCAAAACTGAATTGTTGTTATGTACTATCGGTTGCCAGGCTTATGCATGTTTGCGATGGCTTAGGGGTTCATTTGCAATTTGGTCCTGTACCGGGTGTAAGTGTGGCTCTATGCTGGTTGTGTACAAGCTTTTTTTTCTTTTTTTCCGTCTTATTTGTTTTATACCAAGTTTTATTATTAATTTAATATAAGTTTTGCTTTAATTGAACTCGACTGTTATTTGTTTAGTAGAGTTTCATGTATAAGTAGAATTAAAATAAATAAATAAATAAATAAATAAATAAGCATAATTTAGTATAGAAATTAAGTAAAGAAATAATAATAAAGAACTCAATTGTTATCAAACAATTGAAAATAAACAAGCGTTTAATTCGCTGAAAATTACAAGGCGTTAAATCCGCCCAAGGTTAAAGCTTTAGGGACCGTCTCATGCCGAGATTCATTGGCAAATCTATGAGACGGAAAGACTTGCCGCACTGAAGCCGAGCAGCTTAGGGCTAAACTGCGATACACTTAACATAAAGTAAACTTCTTTACATGGCGATCCTGCCAAATAAACCTTCCAAATTTTTTCTTCACATGGCGATCCTGCCAAATAAACCTTTCACGTATTTCTTTACAATATACCCAAATGACGCCTGTATTCCACTTGTTAGTTATATATTCATATAAACCTTGTAACGTCCGCGAACAAACTTAGGGTAGGGTGTCGGTCGGTCCGTGTTAGCCGAAAATATTGCAATAACGGCATCCCGCTATGCAAAATCGTATGATTTTGCGGTTCATTTCTTTTTTGCAGGAGTAGCGGCTAGCCGCTATGTAGCAACGCAAAGAAGAAGAAAAAAAAAGGAAAAAGAGAAAAAAAAAATCATGCGAAAGAGTAGTTTTTAGTTTAGTTTTTGATTTGGCGTGAGGAGGAGTTGATATAAAGTTTTTTGCTCTTGAAATCGAAAACGTATGCTTGATATCTATGTTTTCGCAATGAAGTAATCAAATCAAAATACGTCCAAACGAGGCAAAATAAAATAAAAAAAAAGGAATACAAATGAAACCAGTACAATTGTGAAAAATGTTCAATTAATCAAATATACTTAAGTTATACAATTAAGTTACATATATATATATACGTATGCACTAAATTGCATTAAATCTAAAAGTGACTGAATAATAAAATAATAATCGCTATTAATAAACACATATACGTAGTATACATAGTATATGTGTATTGAATGTGCACAAAACAAAAGCTCTCCCCTGAAAAAGCAGTTTGGAGTTGGCTTCGCTTACCTGAATGTGGTAGATTTGACGCGCTGAGAATAAGGGAGAAATAAAACGTGCATCGCGTAATAATTTAGTTAAAAAGCCTTATACGGGATATATATGTATATAAATACAATTAAGTCTATTTAAATTCTAAACGTAATAAGGTGAAAAGAAACAAATCAATTAGATCTCGGGTATTTCGAGTCAAACGAAATTTAAAATGCTATTATATCAAACAACAATAAAGTACTTTTCAATATAAAAAATTTTAAAGCGATCATCTAAAGAAAAACGGATTTTTTGATCGTCCCTTTTGTCTTTTTTCACCCTACCAGCCCTTTTTCATTTAAAAAATGAAATTATATGTGGAAATAATGATATTATAATCATACGAAATATTCCCTAATATTAATATTAATTAAATAAAACAAAAGAAAAAAAAAAAATGAATAAGTTCATAAGAAATGAAATTGAACGCTAAATTTAAAGCAAAATTATCAAAAACAAAGGAAAAGCCTTGCCAATATTTATACACCTTGTAATATAGAATATATGTAGAAACGATTGCAACAAGATGGGCAATAGCTTTGTTATACAAATGTTTGTATGTTATATATACCTATAATAAATGTATAAAAATACAATATAGTAAACAGAAAATAATGATAAAATTTGTGATTCGTTATCTTACAATAAAACAAAATTTGCTAAAACTGCTTATGTAAAAAGGAAAACGACGGTATCAATGAAATTCAGGAAACGAAAAGGTGAAAGATTTCAAAGAAATTAATTTACTTAATGTGAGTAAATAGGAAAAATTTATAACGTTTGAAAAAAAATTGTTGATGAATAAATTCTTGAGCAAACGTGTAAAAATTCGTTTTAACTAAGGAATAGTTTTAAAGGGAAAATTGGCGAATGTTTTAAAAATATTTAATTGAACAATTGCTTATGACCACACCATTTGCCATCACTATCACTGGAAATGTTGCTTATTAGAGAAAGGATAAAAAATCGCAGCGGTTCTGTTCGCTTGGACAAAATGCGTTAGGGGCTGGGGCGGCTACAAGATAAGAAAAAAATCATTTTGATACTGCATTTCGTCTCTGAAAGCGCAATAACATAAAATTTGGAAGAGAGTAACGGGTCTTGATCGTATCCTGTACTTGTGAAGCAAAAGGAGGTACGTGTTTGCCGGTACACCTGGGTAGCCTGAAAAGGACATCAACAGACTGCTGCTTTTATTCTTGCAAGTATTTTAATATTTTCTTAGCAGTACTTTCTTAGCCAAAGGCTTGCAGAGGCTTGTGCTTCAATATTTGGTTTAATATGTAAGCCTCGGTTTAACATATAAACGTTGAGTCGATTTTAGTTGACCACAATTTACAAGAATGCAATTACAGCCATTGTAGCAAGGTTACTTATAATGACAAACATGACGTTGATACATTAATATGGCAATAATTAGTTAATATAATGTTACGAAAATCCCAAATACAGTTCATTCCAACTATTTAATTTTCCCAGAAAATAAATTTCCGAGAGAGGGAAAAACCAGGTGAAAATCCGCGGCGCGTCATGCAGCTGTCGGCCGACGACGAAGATTGGCGGAAACGCGGATTAACGGATTAAAAATGAAGCCTTGTACTAAGGTAATAGCTTGTAAAACTGTATATAAACAGAATATTTGCAGAAGAAAGAGTCAGTGGAAAAAGAAAACTGCAGTCGAGAAATCAAGAGTACTGTCGAAATACATTATAAATAATCCTGCCCTTAAGGAAATTGATTGTAAATACAAGACTTTTGAAGGGGAAACTTGCAAGTGTATTTCTCTTATAAATAAAAGCTACAATCTAACGACGCGAACCGTCTTCAGAAAGGCAAATTTCGGCAAAAAATTTTACCCAGGCCATTAAGTACAAGCACATCCTCAAAATGTTTTTAAAGCAATTTTTCCCAATATTCCCCTGTTTTTGCAATGTAAATAAAGTAGCATTAAATTAACAACATTTTTTTGCAACAATCTTTAACAGGCCTCTCTTGTTTTGTTTTTAACGTTTTTTTCTTTAATTTAATTCTTCCTACGCACATAGCGTTTGCTCCTCAAAACTTATTCCTTTTCATTTAATTACAATTTTAATCACAAAAATATAGCCCAATCAATTTACTGACATTCCATTTACATCAAAGCCGTACTTTATCTCCCCGACCGCCATTCTTCTCTCCCTTCATTCTTTTCTCCCCCAAGCGTATCAATTGTTTAGAAATGTCAATCTTTCTTTCAAGCTACAATCTTTCTTTCAAGTTTCTTTTGCAACAAATATTACGAAACAAAAATTAAATGCTACATATCCTCGCAATCGCTTGGAATCCGGCGAAAGAGAAAATTGACCGTTTCCAGCCCCAGTAGTTTGGCGTTGAACGACCTACCGTCCTCCATTTTCTCCTTTAATAATTGAGTTTGTTCTGTTAATAATTGTTGGACGGTTTCCTCGAAGTGTCCGTCATTATAGATTTGCTTCTACTTTGCACCTGATAACGTACAATTTAAGGAAATTTTTATAATACCCAGCAACATAATGCATCTTGGCTTAAAGTCGGTGACTTATAAAATATGATTATATGCTTCTATTATTTATATAATACTATTTGCCTCTATGAAATTTGTTATGTTTTAATGTACATTTTATATGTAAACTAAACAGAATAGCAACTTAAGCAAAGCCTAAAAATTCTTCTTATTGAAGGAGAACAAAAACTCTTGAAGTCATCGTTAGATGACAAAAGATATTGTCAACAAGTTTATAATAAAAAGCTTTTCTGACTATTAGATAAAATCCTCGTTTTAATCGTAATCACCATCAGATATTAATTTTGCAAAGTTTTCAATGTGACCACCAGAACATAAGTAATTCATGTATATAATTTGTTAGAAGAACATGCGAAGACGAATAGGCGTAGATCTATTGTTTAAAAAAATAATAAAATTTACAGTTTCCTCAATTTAAAATATATTTCGTAATGCAATACCCAGCCAGTTGAAGTGCGACAAAGTTTTTGTTTTACTTTTTTTTTTTGCTACAGAATTATGCAAATTCAGCATAATTCTGTCGCACTTCAAAGTGGATGCATAAGACGGTATGCGAGCACACTACAATATATTGATTAACCCAAAACGATTTAACATTTAACAATATATAATATATTACTTATCTTTCACAAATATAAACTTCTTTTTCTGGTTTGTTGAGACTAAGCCAAACCAATATTAACGCAAAACGTGAGATCGTTTGCTTTCGAATAATTTGACAAGAAGAAGACAGTGTATATAACAGGTGTTGTGCTTACGTAAGCTTATGTTAATATTTACAACACCCGCTATACGCGATAAAAAGAGGCATTGTTCACGTTGATAGGAACGCTCCTTCAACAAAATACTTCAACCAATTTTTCATTAAATTGTTACCCATTGATTGCTGAAGTTACTTTTCTAATTCACACCCAACCGAAATAACGTCTTTCATTGTTTGTGCTGTGGTTTGTAAAATTTATATTTATAATTGTGTGCCACACTTTTAGTTTGCATGATTTCTATTTGACGTTCTATTTTATTCTTTTATCTTAAAGATAGTTCAGAACGGCTAGGCACTAGCGTTTCGATTATTGTTACAATATGTTATTGGGAATGCGCTTAAAGGCTTCTATAAACACGTGCATTGATATAGTATATCTAAAATAGTACCGACAATTTATTTTTTGTATGTAATTCATGCGGTTGATAACTTCCTCTACGCTTCTTTCTTAATTTTTTTTTCCCGTTACATAGGTGCTCTTATACATTATATATACATTATCGTTATATACATATAACCAACAGTAACAACGAATTAACCATTGATAAATATAAACTACATATCCGTTAACAATAGTGGCAAAAACCTATTTGAAAATTAACTTACGTTTTTGTTTTTCGCTGATTTTGCTTGCCGTGCGTGATAGCATTCAGCTTCAGATGTTTGTTTGGCTGAGTTAATTACTTTCTCTCACAACTGTCAAATTACGCAAAAAGTAAATAGCTTACGCGTATAAAAGAAAAACCCAACAAAACAAAGTTGGAAGATTTTTACAAATCTAACCAATCGTGCTGAACAACGCCACCAAATCTTTAAACAAAAAAAGATGTTCTCAGATTACGTAAGTTTGCATACAATTGACAAAACATGGTGTGGCTACAAGGCCGCGTGGTTAAAATTAATGACCAGAAATAATTGATAGTTCCCAGAGCTAGTCATGTATTCCATGTCTGAGTACTCTGTGCTCCTGCAGTTAACACACAACGCCCTACTCAAAATCATAGAGCTTGGGATCAATCTATACCACATATACCCTGACAATATAAATATTTTTTTTATTTCGAAAAAAAATTAAAATAATTAATTCGAATATATTTACAGCGAATTCCATTGCAGTCGACGCTTCCTTAAGCAGTAAACACACTGTCGTCATTTTCTCTGAATTCTGTAAACTTCAAGAAGTCGGTCCTGTCCACGCGGATTTCACAGCAAATAATATTTATGAAAACGCCCTGGCCAAAAATGTGCAAAAGTTAAGCCATTGCCTATAACGTACAGTAATGCGCTTCAGCAAACGAAACAACGCTAACAACAAGAAGCCCTTCCATCTCGATACGACACATATATGGTTTGCAGTGAACGTACTGTCTTCACATATGAGCGTATACGGGGTTTAGTAACGACATCCATCGACTCATTCACACAATATCGCTACAAGCGCACCAACAAGTCCTGCTCAAAACAAAACTCTCTTCGTCCCTTCTGGGGTATCACTCACGAAGACTCGCACGAATAAATAAAAATACGTTAACTCCCAAGGGTGACCATCCCTGCAATAGAAACTCTGCCGTCTTAAACCAACAACTTCATTAAGCTCACCTTAACATAAACACCATAACCTTTACATTGTTTGCTACAGATATCTCCCATTTGCTCAATCTTCAAAGTAAAACATCCACACTTAAGCGTATAAGCTCAGAAAAGGAAGACAAAGATTTGTAACGTCCGCGTACAATTGTAGTGCAGTGGCTCCGTAGGTCTGCTTTAACCGCTACTCTATCACAATAGAGTAAGTAAGATCGTAATAACGGCATGCCATTAAGCAAAATCGCATTTGCAAGAAGAACGACTTGCCGTTATGCAAAGAAAATAAAAGGGAGAAAAGAAAGAAAAAAAACCCTCATAATTGTTATAATTGTCTCTCTTGCTAAATAACTCTATTATGCAAGAGAGAACCTTGAAGAGAGGAAAATTCCAGAGTCCGTCTGTGTATTTTGAGCATATTAGTTGTTGTTTTCTTTTCGCCTTTATAAGAAACTATTGGAAAAAGAGGATAGAAACAATGAAGAACGTTTTTAGACGACGAAATAGTGTTGTGCCATCGGGAGTGTCTTTATTGTGCTGTCTGGGGTGTAAAGCTTGTGCTGTGAAGAATCTCACAAGTTGATCTCAATGTTTTTTTGAAGACAATATAAAAACGAAAAGAAATATTTTGCACGCATCACTTACATTTTAAAGAAAACAAATTTGTAAAAACAAGACAGCCACAATATTAAACAATAGAGAAAATAATCATCAATTTAATAATAATTTCAATTATATAAAACGAGAAAAGCAAAAATAATTCACCATCTACTACTCCCAGTCCAGAAACATGTAAAGGCATTATTATCAGTCATGAAAGGTCTATCATACAAGCTGAACGACGAGCGGAAACATCAGCAGCTTTAGCGGAAAAAATATGCACGAAGATCGCGAGAGAAACTCACCCTTATTACCAATGGTATGAAAACTGAAGCTTCACTGCAGCGTCAACGTACGTATCTTTATTAAAATTTAATGTAAAAGAAATAACAAAAAGAAAAGAAATATATAAAGAGAGTAATTTACTTACGACTTTGTTCAAAAAAAAAAAAAGTCTTAAATATGCTATTATTGTGAACGTGATTTAAGAGAATATTTTTGGAGATTTTTATTCAAAAATTGAACACATACATATATTAAATTACAATATTTAGTACTATTTAAAAAAAAGCAATCTAAACTTATGAAAAGTGTGCATAGGAGTAGCATTTCCTTGATATTCGTGGAAATGAGTAACAATAACAATAATAACTAAAACAGGAAAAAAGATATTACTTGGCTACGTGGTATACCCTACCGCTGAGGCGGAGTCGCTTATTTGAAGTTTAATTTTTTTTTTTGTCATGCGGCACGGCATGTCGTAAATTTCGTAAACGCCCCACCGCGCAAGAGATATGCCGTTGAAAGGTTTCTGAACCCCAACATACTCCTGAAATTGCAGATTATGACAATTGATTGACCAATGTAGTAATATACAGTCTTTAATATTATTTAGATATCAACACTCTAGAAATTGTGAACCCATTCGCCACTAAAGTCATACGATCCCTCCCTGAAAGCCAACAAACGGCTGGACCCATATCTAAGTTGTCTTCAAATATCTCACACTCTATTACCAATGGAAATACGCCAATTTAATTGCAGCAACGTGTGTAACAAAATAAAGCAACTGGAGCAGTATCTTTGCTGCCATATCATTTTAGTGGCATGTGCGTGAGTCATATTAACTAAGTTAGGTACTTTTTGAGCATCTACATTGGCTGTCCTACGCCTTTTCACATTGGTTGAAACTCACAACCTGACTTCTTGGTATGTTCCATTTCATCACGAGTTTGTGTGTGGTACCTACAGTTGAGGTAATTAAATCTACGCGCTTCAGCAGAATAGGCGAAATAGTCGTAAGCAGAACGGATTTGTATAATTTTTTGGGGAGTTGAAAATTACTCGGGCTGAAGATATATTTAGTTTCTCAACGTTGGAAGAATTACCGAATCAATTACGGGATCAATTCCTTTATTAAGTATCAAACTGGCCACAATGGTTTTTTTAACAAAATTTCCATGTGTTGAGATGGAGCCAATTTGAAAATGCTAACATGCTTCAAATCGACGGATGGGATTTTTGCAGGACGATAACTTTGGAGTTAGGCATTAGTCTTGACACGAATATTGCCTTTCGGGGGTACTGCTGTCAAGCAGATGTCATCCCTTTTGGGAACGTTAGTAATTGCGGGTAGCGAATTTTGAATTTATGTGCAGCTTGTCCGGCAGCAAATACACCCGAACAGCTCGGGGGAGAAACGGATTTATTATTTATATATATATCCTTTGGGAATGTAGACAGAGTAGCCTGCGAGGTTCTAGTAGAAGAGACACCCTTGTCAGCATAGCTGAAACGGGAAGGGCTTCCTGGCTTATTTGAAACTTATGTGTTACCAGTTGTGTCAACGATAGAGGAAACGCTAGTATTCACTTGGCTCGACATGATGTAAATAAACAATCAATACCGGAAAGCAACAGACAAAATAGAGCTTGTGAAGATAGAAAAAACTAAAACTTTGTCACATATTCAAAATGTTCTATTAAACTAGCGCTCAAACTTCATGCTATTAAAAGCACAATAAACAAAGAGAAAAATTGTAAACGCCGCAAACCAAGGTAGATGTTGGGAAACTACAACAAGCAAAACATAAGAAAGACACATTTTGACGAGAGCAGCATATGCTAACCGCAAAAACTAAAATAATATCAACACACAGAACAGTGCGATTTTTATTTCAATAAGTAAACACTTTTATAATTGTTTACGCTTTAAAGCCATACAAAGCAAAGTGAAAGAGGATTTACAAAATTTTCACAAAATAAAAAATATGACCACAACGCACGTGCAACAACATTTACATTAATGAGATATTTAACTCCCTACTTGCGAATGTTTCGATATTGAGATATGTAGACGATCTTGTTAATTCCAGCTGCCACTCTGGCCTCAATTCGGCTAAAGAAACCGTACAATCTACCTTAGATGTCATCAATAGGAACTGAAGGTGTCTAGAGCTCTCGTTGTTCATTCAAATGACAAAATGTCTAGTCTTATCTAAAAAACGTAAGAAACTTTTCACTGCACCACTTCACACCAGCGGCTGCAATGTACCATACTTGGAATCTTTCAAATGATTAGTCTTCGTCCTACCTAGACAACATTCCCTTGAACCTTGTAGTGCCACGGTCGTCATAGAATGGTTTTAACTAATAAATGTATTGAATATCATTAAAAATGTATTGAAAATGAAATTCCTGGACATATCTTGGATGTCATCCTCTTTGCATAACAAAATTATAGATTAGATTAGTCAGATCAAAACTAGGCCGCTCCTATTGGGAAATTCGGGAATTCGGAAAGAGATATTTTGAGGTCAATGGAAATGTGTCCGCCTTGCTTTAGACGCTGTAACGTCGGCGTATATTTCAAATAGAGTAGGTAAAATCGTAATGACTGCCCACCGTTATGGAGAACCTCTATTCATAACTCTCTCTCTAAAAAACGCTATCATACAAGAGGGAATTATGAAAAGTAAGAAGTCCGAAGCCCGTCCGTGTGACTTGAGAATATTGTTTCTTTTATGCTTTGATCTTGCTGTTGGTTTTTTGATGAGAGTCTGGAAGCAAACGTTCAAAGAAGAGGTCGTAAAAATTCGCAGAGTTAAATGCTTAATGGACACAAAAATTTTAGCAATAAAAAAAAACTGGACTGTCGGTGACGGCTTCGATGTGGCGCAGTTGTGTGCTGTTGCAGTCGCGTTTTCTGCTGTTGATGGGGATTGTTGGGTCGATAAGTGGCCGCAGAGCCTGTTGCCTGAGCAGAGCAGGGTGCTATCACTTCGATGGCGCGGAGCCTATTATCTTTGGCTTTCCGACATCGGGGGCGTCGGATCGTTGGCCGTTACTCCCGTCAGCTTTGGTGTACCTTTGGCTTTCCCGCATTGAATCGCCAGACCATTGGCTAGAAAGGTACTGGCCAACGTTGGCCACTATGGGCGCACCTTTGCTTCACAGACCCTTGGCTGTGGGTGACTTTTGTTGTTGTGTTGAATTTCTAGGCTGAATTGTTGCGGCAGTGGCCTCGGTAACCGTTTTGTGCTAACAGCGAGATCCACCTAAGCCGTTGATGTTGTTGATGCAAATATTTGTCAGTACGTTGTAATTGTTGTTGCTGCTGTCGAGGTAACAGCGGTTTTCTAAATCGTTGGCGGCGGCGGTTGCCAGGTTACCGCTGATGGTTGACGTGAGAGCCGTTGGTTGTGGCCGGGATTATCGATGTGTCGAGTTTTAGGGATATCGTTGTGTTAAACTTTCGTTCAGGTTGGTGCGGCAGTGGCATCTGTGACCATTCGGTGCCAACGGCTATAGCCACCTGTTACTGTTGTTGTGGTAATAGTTAGGATTAACGCTAATGATGTCGCGGTTGTGATAGTTGCTGTCGTGGATGTTGCGTTGGTGCATGTTGATGCTCTTGGTGATTTCGTTGCGGCTGTAATGCCGTTGGTGTTTATGTAGATGTTGGCTGCTGTCGTCGACGTAGCAGCGACTCCGGATCCACTGACGGCAACGGTCGCAATGTTACCGTGGTAGCTGGCAGGTAACGTAGTTGGCTGTGGCTGGGGTTGTGTTGTTTTCTCTTGTTTTTGTTGGATCGACTGCAGTTGCTGTGATGGTGTTGTTATGAGTATCTATGGAGGTGAGGGTCTGCCCCTCCGCTGGGTACGGGTAGCTCAGAGTTCGGTGACGGGCTTGGCGTCATGCACATGAACGTGCTTTAGCGCCCGTGTAGTTGTGTCCTCGACTTGGATGATGTTTAGGGATTTGAATCGCACCACGGTATAGGGCCTTTGAAATCGACGTACAAACTTGGCGGCGAACTGGTTGGCCGCTTTCGAAATTGGGTGATGGCGGATTAAAACCGAATCTCCGAGTTGGGGTTGCCAACGGCGGCGATGGGAGTTGAAGTACCTTCGCTGTTCGGATGATGAAAGCTCGAGATTGCGACGTACGCTAAAGATGACTTCCTTTAGAATCTGGGCTCGCTGCCGCGGTGACTGGGGCTGGATCGGCACGCCCGCGCGCCCTTGGTCGTAGAAAGCACGTGGCAGTGTGGGTTGGCGCTCTTGGATAATGTATGTCGGAGAGTAGCCGGTGGAATCTGAAATCCCTGTGTTCATCGCTAGGGCGATTTCCGACAACCATTGGTTTCAAGCGGCGTGTTCGTGTTGGCAGAATTGCGCTATCGTTGTCTTAACAGTTCGATTGACTCTCTCGCAGGGGTTTTCCCGGGGGATGTATAGTGCGGTGAGCCGGTGTTTGACTCCGATTCGTTTGAGGTAGGAAGTGTTTACTGGTGAATTGCATTTCGTTGTCGGTGACATTTTCTCGCGGTGTACAGAACTTACTAAGGATGCGCTCTCGGAAGGCATCTATTAGCGTGACTGCAGTGGCTCGTTTGAGTTGGACTAATTCCATCCATTTGGAGAACTGGTCCACAAATACCAGGAACATCGTGTTCCCCGCCTTCGTATACGGTGGCGCCTCACGAAATCTGCACAGACTGCCGCCCACGGCTCCATCGGCAGGGCCGTTAACATTTCTCCGGCCGGCTTCTACTGGATTGGTTGGTATTGTTGGCAGCTCCGGCAATTCTGTACATACCAGGCGA